TTATCTAGCTTGCCACTGTACTTTCAATTATTCTACAAATACCCCAAGAAAATATTAAAATAAAATAATAGTTATTCAAAGAAATTTTTGTGTGGATAAAGTGTGATCAATAAAAAAATAGATAAACTAAGTCAGTTGGGATAAATTGTGCTGGCCAAAGAATAAAAGAGGCCTTGAAGTCAAAAACCTTGAGGTTTTCAATATTAATATCTTGTCTAAATGGAAATGGCATTGTTTGGTGGAGAAAGATGCCATATGTATGATTATTAGGGGTGGGTATATGGACTTGAGTCTGCGGACCGGTCCGTAAGTCTGCGGACTTCACAGATAACGGGCCCATTGTTTTTAATCCGTATAATCATACGGACTTTTTAGGTCCGGCCCGTTTAGTCCGCGGATTTTGCGGATTTAATCCGCGAGCCCGCGGATTACCCGTTTAAATGTGGACTCAAATTTTATTATTGAAGATGCTTGATTATATTTGATAGATGTAATTGGACTTACAAATATTTTATGTTTGTTTTTAAGATATTAATTAAGACTTTGATGTTTCAAGGTATTTAGACTTTGATGTACTTGGACTTACAAATGTTTTATATTTGTTTGGTTGTGTATTAAGACTTTTAAAGTTTTAAGGTAGTAAGGCTTTAATATTTGGTTAATATTTGGTATGCTTGGACTTTAAATTTTAAAGGCATTGAGACTTAAATATTTATATTAGAAATCTAGAATGTGTAAACTTTGTTATTTAAGACTTTGATTTATTATTTACAATGTTTGATGTTATTATTAGAAGTATATTTATATCATTTTATATGTATTTTTTTTCCTCATGTTTTCATAGGTTAAATAAAGGAAAAGAAATTTAAAATATGAGTCAATATTCATTTAAACAATTTAGATTTAATTGGGTTCGCGGACTTATCCGTTTATCCGCGGGCTTCACGGGCCGGATACGGACTTGAAGATTTAAGTCCATTTATTTCGCGGACCGGATTTATCTGGCCCGTTAAAAATGCGGACTTCGCGGACCGGGCCTTAAACGGGCCGGACCGGTCCGCATACCCACCCCTTGATTATATCCTTTAGATATGGTCATTTTAACAAGCCCCCCATTCAAGTCACATTTATTCCTAGACACATATCTTGGTGGTGGCATGACGTTAATAAGATTGACACTGGATTGAGTGCTTATTAATTATGGTTTTCCAATTCAATTCACAGAAAAGTTAGAAATGGTAGTGAAACCAGCTTTGGGAATGATTATTAGGTTGGGGGGATTCACCTGAAAGGGACCTTTCCCCTATTATATCAAGTGTCAATGGATAAAGAAACAATTGTTGCTGGTATGGGTGTGAGACTTCAACACTCATGGTCTTGGAGGTGGAATTGGAGAGGACTATTATTTGTATGGGAGCAAGAATTGGCCAATGAATTGTAGAAACTATTAGCTCCAGAAGAACTGGATGATGAAGTACTAAAGACATGGTATGGTTAGAGGACATTTCAAAAACATTTACTATCAAATATTCCTATAACCTCTTACAATCTCAACAAATTCCTACAAGTGTCAATGATGTTGTTGGTTATGTGTATAATCGTCTATGGATATGCTCCATCCCTTCAAAAATTATAGCTTTTACTTTGATACTTTTACAAGACCATTTTCTTGCTAGAATTTAGCTACAACACCATGGTATTATCTCAGATCTGCAAGGCACTTCTTGTGTTTTTTTTCTTATCATGAAGACTATAATTATTTATTATTTAATTGGCCTCTATCATATAAGATATGGCTTGTTGTCTACTTATGGTTGGACTGTGTTGGGATTTTACATAATGATGGGTATCAACACTATCTACACCACAACCTTTGTCTCCAAGGAAAATAATACTAGAGAGTAACTCACATTATTTGACACGTAGTGGTATGGGTCTTATGGTTGTTGAGAAATAAGTTTACATTTCAAGGAGCTACTTTTGATTCTATTGCACTACAAGCTCAAATAAAAATTATGTCATATGGTTGTTTCATTAGTAAAGATGACAAATTTCCAAGTAGAACATATTTCAATTGATGTGTAAATCCAATAGAATGGTTAAGAAAATGACAACTTTGTCATGACAGAAAGCAAATCGTAATGACTACTTTAGTTGTTATGCTAGTTCATTGCTAGATGGAACATGGTTTGCTGGGTTGAAATTTTTTTTTTTTTCAATTGCATGGACTAGACTTTGGTGTTGGAAATTATGGTGTATAACACACATTATGGTGCAATAGTTTCAAATTTGTTATAAGGCTTGCTACACAATTCATTCAAGTTAATGGGAGAAAATTAATTGGTTATAGAAATTGTATTCATCATTTTGGAGCTCCAACCAAAGAGAGCAAGTGTTAACTTTGCATAGTCTCATTCCTACCCCTTTTAGTGTGGACTATCTCTTTTGTTTATATTGTTTTTGTATTATCTTGCATTTTTTTTCCTATGAAGATAGACTACAAAAGTAGGGATTCTTGTTTTATTCATTCATTTTACTTTCAGATCATTTACTCTTGCACATTCTGTACCTCTTCAATGAAATTTTTTGATTATCAATAAATAAAAAAAATAGGCATGTTGCAAAATAAATAATAATAATAAAATGAGTGTTAGTACCACTTTCTAAGATTATCTACTACTAGAGAGATCGAGACACTTCATGCTTTTAATAGTTATACAAACGAAATATTATATGGTTGTAGAAGGTTATTCAAAGAATATATGTGAAGTTATTTTAAAGAAAAAATAATATTTGAGGGACATAATGGTCGACCATAAAGTAGTTACAAACTATGATATCCCCTTCATTGTATATATAGATATTAAAAATCACAAATTTTAGTTAATTTCACTTCACATTTAATAAGTTTATATTATGATTTATAAGAAAACCTATAAAAAAAACTTATTTTCAATATATTTTAATTAGTAGATAAAATTTTTAAAAAATATATTAGAGAAAATCTTGGTTATAATTATAAAATAATCAAATAACCTATTCCAAATGATTCATCAAAATTTACATTGTACTTTCAATATTTTATGCATATTTTATTCATATTATTTGATTTTCTTAACAACTACTCCTTTAGTCTCAAAATAACACAAATTTCAAAATTTTAAAAATTCTAAAAAATAATTAGTGTTTTTATTTTCAATGTAACTTTTTTTTTAATTTTCCCTATCATATTTTTGAACTACCACGATTAAAAGTAATTCATTTATTGAGAAAATGAGATTATTTTAATAATTTATTAAAAAAATGATATATTTGTTAGTATTTTTAATCTTTGTGTAAAAATATCAAATTAAAAAAAAGGGGAGACCATAACTAACATATTAAGAGTTTATTTGTTTTAAAGGAACGGAGAGAATAAGAAAAAATTTTAGGGTGCAAAGGGAAGCTAAAATTATCCTTCATTTCCCTCCCTTACTCTTCCCCTCTTAGAATTGAACAAAGCAAAAAAACTCTTATAAAATCCTCAACTTCCATCTCATTTTTCTTAAACCAAATACGATGTAAAAGATTAAAAAAAAAATTGTAAGGATTGATAATGATATGTTCTCCAATTTTATATTTTATTTAATAAGTCTCTCATAATTTAATAATTTAATAGTAGAACCTATAAAATTTATAAATTTCAACTAATAGTATATGAAGTTTTATATACAAATTATTTTTTATTAATTCCATAAAAAAAAAAGTAAGTGCTATTAATTTTTGTGAATTCAACACTGCTCATTATTATATACAAATTATTTCCATAGAACTTTTTTATTTAATTAGTACCTATTATATGTAATAAAAATTAATTAAAACTACTTATTTTTTATATGTTTTGTTAAATATTTGTTAATTAAAAACCTAAAATTGGTATTAAAAAATCCCCAAATCTTATTCTAGTTAGGCAGAGTAGTTTTGTGATTTGATTGAACTGACTAATAATATATTCATGATTAATCCAGTCAAATCAGTGCGTCTAATTATAAATTAAAAAGTATTGGAAAGAATACGTAAAAAAGCTTATTACACACTAGCTAATTTCTTGTCAAATCGGATTTGTCTTCGATCAGTGGATGAGACCAAAGACACCCAAATCTATCTGAGAAATATTGTCTTGGTTGCAAAAGAATATTATTAATAATCATACACTATAATTTTATTGTATTTTTAGAAAAAGCTAAAATTTTATTAATGGAGTAATATACTATAATTTAATGTCTTGTATATCATGTTATGTTTGTATGATGTTGCACTGTAGGTAATCCAAATGTGGTATTTTTCCCTGATCTACCTGATTAGCCAATCATAGTAGATATCATCCAACTAAATTATACAAATCACTGTCCCGTGTGCTAACTCTTAATTTCCTCAGTTAGTTAGCAATCGTGAGACAACTTGGAAACTTGGAAACTCATGATAGAGTAAAACCATTAAATTATTTGGTGCAAATTCACATTACAAGTGAAATCTTCCGGACAATGAGACTCTATTCTACAGGAGACAGTGTGTCGGTGTATTGAAAAATGAAAAAATATTCACACCGGCATGGACTTGTCAAGGTTCCCATTCAAATTTTCCAACTTTGCAACCACAACAAAACAAGAATCATTGAAAATCCATACCAAAGATTGACCTTTTACGGAGGGTGTACCGCGTCAATGCGTCATGCATGACAATTCGATTGTGACCCGCACCTATCAGTCTGACCCCCACATAGTTTTTTTCTTTTATTTTTCAGTCGAGGAGTGTGACTTCTACCGAATAATTATTTTAACATAAATCAAAATATTGAGCGTAAAAACATTAGATTTACCCGTATCAACGAGTTTATGCTAATCAAACATCATCATTTCAACGTAAACAAAAATCGAATTTGGGAGCAAGTGATACACTGTGTGTCCTAGGCAAGCTTTTGGTTCACCCCCAACTAGTATAAATACCTATCATGGGTTGTGTAATACTCACCAACTCAAAAACTGAGTAACATGGCTTCCTTAACCTCCCTAGTGCTGCTCTTTGCAGCTCTTATTCTATCCCCACATGTCCTTGCTGACTATACCAAGCCCCCAGTAGAGAAACCACCAGTTTACAAGCCCCCAGTTGAGAAACCACCAGTTTACAAGCCCCCAGTTGAGAAACCACCAGTTTACAAGCCCCCAGTTGAGAAACCACCAGTGTACAAGCCCCCAGTTGAAAAGCCACCAGTGTACAAACCACCAGTGGAAAAACCACCAGTGTACAAACCACCAGTTGAGAAACCACCAGTTTACAAACCACCAGTTGAGAAACCACCAGTTTACAAGCCACCAGTTGAGAAACCACCAGTTTACAAGCCACCAGTTGAGAAACCACCAGTTTACAAGCCACCAGTGGAAAAACCACCTGTGTACAAGCCACCAGTTGAAAAACCACCAGTTCACAAGCCACCATATGGGAAGCCACCGGTGCATGAGACTCAATATGACAAACCCCCAGTTGAGAAGCCACCAGTGTACAAGCCCCCAGTTGAAAAACCACCAGTGTACAAACCCCCAGTTCAAAAACCACCAGTGTACAAGCCCCCAGTGGAAAAACCACCAGTTTACAAGCCCCCAGTTCAAAAACCACCAGTTTACAAGCCACCAGTTGAGAAACCACCAGTTCACAAGCCACCATACGGGAAGCCACCACACCCGAAGTACCCTCCAACTGATTTCTGAAGTATATCCATGATTGAAGGTGTATTAAGTATATGCTAAATAAGAGGTGTAGTGTAGCTACTACCATTGCCACGCTCACACTGCACTTTAGTTACGGCAAGGGTAGATTTGTTTAGTGTCATGGCTAAGATATGAGTATCATGGATGCATGAGTGTGAAACGGTAAACAAAAAATGCTGCTTTGTATTTCAAATTATCAATAATAGAATTTTATGGCTTGGATAGTTTTGCTGTGCTAATTTCTTCTTCTTCTTCTTTTTCCGATCGGAATCGAATTCGATATAAAGAATTTACAATATATAATTCTCAACCTATATCCAACTAATCCTAAATTACGTTGAGGTGATATGCTCGGATCAAATATAAATCCTAAATTATTGTCATATTACGGCCGTCTACGGAGTTGCATCAAATTTAAATACTGATGATAAGCAGTGATAGAAGAAAGTTGTTAATGAAGGTCTTAGGTCTCTATTTAGTAGTATTTGCTAAACTGGATCACCTTAACTAACATGGAATTTCGTCGCATGAGATTTAACTGTTTCATCAAGATATGAGGGGATAAAGCTCCATTGAAATAAATTTAGATCATGTATCATTTCGACATTAAGTTTTAAACTAATTACAAGTGGATATTTTAAAGAGTTCTGATAATCGGTGCCTTAAAAAATTGGTTAAGAAATTTTTAAGAGTTCTGTTATCAAGTAATTAATATACAGAATTTTTTTTTTAATATTGAAAAGTACGATAAATTAGATTAAAAAAATGCATAAACAGTTTTTAATAAAATAAAAAAAAAGTTCATTTACACTTCTTAACAAATGCCTTAAATTAAGACACTAATTAGCACTGATATTTTTCTATTTTAAAAATGACATTTTTAACCGATGTTATTTAATATGGAAGAATAAGTTACGTAATATAAATAAATAAATACTATAATTACGAAGTATAACACATTAAAACCATTTTCATACATTAATACTATTAACTATCATCACTTATATTAACGATAAGAAAATTATTATAAAAATTAATAAATTTAATCATGACACTGGTACGAGATTTTAATAGTACACATAATTTGTGCTTGCTAATGCAACAGAAACATTATTTTAACATATAATCTATACATATCGGATGTAGTTTTTGCGAGTGAAATATTATTTTAGTATACATAAGAATCGAACTTAAAAGCATTAAGTCGACTTTCTATATTTTAGGGGAGACTTTATAATTACTGGATCAAAAGACTTGATTAATAATAGTTAATGGTACCTTAAAAAAAATAATAGTTAATGGTATAAAATATCATCATTTATATGTTATTTTGTGATTTTTTTTTCATAAATAAAAAGTTTAGATAGGAAAAAGGTATAATCAACATAAAATTATATTCGCTAATTTTTTTTAAGAATTTTCAGTGGAATTACAAATTACTTATCTAGGTTATTTTGTGATTTGAGTATTTGGCGACAAAAATAAAATGTTTGATATAATCATAAGTTTTGTTTGTCCAATTAATTTCCTAAATAGAGACGAGAGAAATCATGGGGTAGTTGAGTGAATATTGGTACGTAACCTAACACGGCAGCGAAGATGTAGTATGTGCCAGAGTAAAAGGCCTGGATGGGAGAAATAATAAACTATTTTCATCTTTTTCTTTTCTGCATTTTTTTATGCTAGTATTTTATTAATTTCTCTATCCTCTTTTTGTGTTTGAATAAAGTTTCATATCTACCAAACTTTTTTCCTAGTGGGAGAGATCCATAACGTGTAGATTCTCATACTCTCTTGAGCTATTTTTCCTTTACTTGCTTGAAAATCTAGATTAACTTTAAATTCTAACAAGTGATTAAGTGGGAAAATAATTTAACTACAAAAAATTAATTACCATTTCGTATTATAAATTGTTGAGTAATAAATAAATTTTTATATCGATAAAATACAAAAAAATAACAATTAATAAAATATACATATACTTTAATAATTAAATTTTTTTTAGATGATAATAAAAACAAGATCATGAAAATTTAAATTCAAAATATATACAATATTTTACTGTTATAAAATTATGTATGAAATAAATCCATAAAATGATATAAATATAATCTTTCAAACAAATTTTCAAAAATAATCCGACATAAATTACTAATCAAGTATAGAATTTGACTTTGGTCGTTGATATGTCTTTATCAGTCGATTTGTCCCACACATTTGATTTGAGTACGGATAATAATATGAACGCGGTCGATTACGCTGACAACTTACAATTACAAGTGGCACGACTCCTCGCATCTTCTTAAATAATTTATCGTTTTAAATTCATTCATGCACTATACGAATTTATAAATAAATAAATAAACATAAAAAATATAACATTTAAGAATAACTGAAAAACATATTTTATGAATATATGATTTAAAATATAAAAAGTAAATATTTAAATTTAACTTTTAAAATTATTTTAATTAATATAATATTATTCAAATAACAGGTATATTTTATTGTGATTAATATATATTAATTGAAAGGTAAATTATTGGTGAAATAATTTATGTTTTTATTTAATTGAACAATTAAGAAACTTAAACATCACGTAGTATAAAATAAAATAAAAAAGGCGTGTAATTAATGAGTTCGATGACTTTCAAAGCTAAAGTCATTTTCTGTCATGAAAACTAAAAATGATAGATTTGCATAGGATATAGACTAATATTTTTTTTTTTTTGGTAAAATTAGTTAGTTGATCTCTAACTTTTTTAATTTCATTTTGATTGTTTTTCTTGTTTTGTTTCAATTTTCTTGTTGTGGTGGTAATTAAAAAGGGACATAATTGAGCCAAAAAAAATACTTTTTTTTATAAATAAAAATATTTTTAATTGAAAATTAAATTAAATTAAAAAAGAGATAAAAGATAAAAATGGGAGAAAAAAATAGAAGATCAAACCGAAAAGAATAAAGATGAAAGTATTAATTTTTCTTTTTTTTTCTCCTTTAATCATAAATTGAACTTTATAAATTACTTGGACTAAAAGTTATCAATGAAACAAATAATGGGGTGTTAGTAAGGAATTTATACATGTGCTCCAAAATAGTTTCAAGAAATGATTCGATAATTGGGAGAGTAGTTACACATAATTCGAACAGGATATACATGTGGCATATAACGGAGCGATCATTAAATGTAGGGTTTTTACATAAATTGATTGCCTTACAAATACAAATGTAACGACTCGTCATGGTCCCTGCACTTAGTGGAATCGCACTACTACTAGTGAACTAAGAGCATATTAAGACTGAACAACTCATACATACAGGTGTATAAATATAGTATAATAATACTAACTATGTTTCTATATACAAAAATATAACACCAAATATGTACAGTCATCCCAAAATAATAACCTCCTAGTGTCGGTCAAGCACAAACAATAGTTACCCAAGAAGGTAACTCGAACACTAGGACAAAACTCCTCGTCCCGTAGCGGTCACAGCAAACAACTCCAATCTAACCCTAACCTGCTCCCATACATAGTATGATCATCGCAGTCCATCAACATGGAAACAAAAAGGGTAAGCTAGAGTTCAAAAAGCAACCATACAAGTACAAAATAAAATCTATACTACACATGCATCCAACTCAAGTCCCAAAGGAACTTCCATCTCAATCAATCATCAACTCATCAAACATGAAGTTAAACACCATACACTTCATCATCATAGCAGTCATGCAATACATGCAACTCATGACAGATATCAATGCATATCAATCATCTAATGCGTCGTCACGCATACACCTAGGAGATCTCCCTAACAGCAGAGCAGTATAAGTGACATCTCAATCCTACCGAAACCACCCCAACTGTTTTCACGCCTAATGCGCCTGCTCGTTCATAGCTAAACAGGATATAAATCCTCACTCGGGTTTACTCGAATGATGTCACTTACACAATTGGAAGTTCAGTTCCACCGTCAGGAATATCATAGCTGGGTACAGGCTTACCACGACCTTGGCATGCATTACCAAGTCACTTGTGGGGTTCGCCCACGACTATCCGCAAGGAACCACGCACCTTCCCCAGTACTTGGTTAAGGAAATAACCCTCAACCTCATATTCCGCTCCAACACTAGCTAAGGACTTAGATTAGACTCACCCAAACCAGTGGCCTACCTGAGCACCATTCTCACCCAAAACCAGTGACCTACCTGAGCACCACTCTCACCCAAAATCAATGGCCTACCTGAGCACCACTCTCATAATTAGTGGCCTATCCAAGCACCACTCTCAAGAGACTCTATGTGAGCTCTTCTAGTTTGAAAATATTTCTCTCTCCTCAAGTCCTAGGCTAGACACATGCCATAAGGCATCACATGCAATAATGCATCATACATCATACATGGTCAATCTACCATCATGATCAATAATCATACTCATTCCATAAGGCATCACATGCAATAATGCATCATACATCATACATGGTCAATCCACCATCATGATCAATATTATCCTCATATGAACATATACACATGTCATATCATATTCAAACATTCATACATATCATTACCAAGCATACATATGAATCATTCACCACCATACATCATATATCATACATATATGAACCAACTATACATTATAGTATCAAACAACTTTTTAATTGACATGATAACAACTTAACACATCAAAACAACATGTATCTCCCTTTGACGACTGTCAAAGAAAACAACATCCAAAGATTTATACTCATCCAAATAAGCCCAAACCTATCTCAAAAGAAAGATAAGGGGATTTCCTACAACTCTTATTCAGACACCGAGTCCTAATTCCATCATCTACTTTGTCAAAACTTACAAAAACCGCAACAGCTATAACTAATGCTGACAACTTGGACCATGTTTCCTAAAACATCCATATTTAGAGTTCTAGACCTCCTTTTTAGGTGATTCCAACGCCATTAGAAAGCTAAGATCTAAGGCTACAACTTTCATGAAGATCATAAAGTCAAATTGTGAAAGCACACTCACACCTGGCGCAGCCAGTTCACACCCGACGTGAATTCATCTAGAAACTGCTTCTAGTGAATACAATCCCGGTGCCAATAATATGCGCCCGACGTAAATTCATATAGCAGCCCCAAAACTTTGAAAATTTTGTTAAAAACCCGAAAAATAGCAAATCTAGCCACATGCAAACCAAGAAACACAATGCATAGGCTCCATACA